CACACCTGCACAGAAACCAGTTCCACCCAAACACAAACCTGGCCTGCAGGTAATCTGGTGGCAAGTCTTCTTCTCGCGTCTGAAAAGCAGGGAGGATCACCAACAACTCAAAGGTGCTTGAGTCAGGCCCCCACCCTTTTGACAAGGCCCTGGAAGGACATGTCTTCCTCCTGAACACAAGTGGGGGCAATTGCAAGACTGCTGTGTTTGAAGCCCTGCCTCTGCTTCACAAGCCCTCTTCATGGCTGATTGAATCGGAAAAAAGCTGCAAACCATGTGCATGAGAGCAAAGCAGCAGCCCAACATGAACACCCATCTCATGCTTAGCATGTCAAAATGTGTGTGAAAGCAGCCAACAAGGGCTCTATGGCAACCAATGCTGTCAAGCCAAAACAGCCACATGGGCTGGGAACCCTTTCAACAGCGCACGCTGTATATATATATATATATTATTTATAGCAAAGCCCAACCTGAAGCCCATGTGCATCAAAACAAAGACAACAGGATCTTGCTTAGCATGGCACAAAACAGGAAGCGCAGCCCACTGGCTATGACAATAAGGTAACACAGCCCAAAGGCTACATGCTTATCATGGAACAAAAAAAAAGTAACACAGCCCACAGGCTGCTTATCATGACAAACAGAAAGGGAACACAGCCCAAAGGCTACTGCTTTATCATAGAACAAACAAAGTAACACAGCCCAAAGGCTACTACTCACCATGGCTAGCAAAAGATAACACAGCACAAGGCTACTGCTTATCATGGAACAAACAAGGCAACACAGCCCCAAGGCTATACTGACTACCATGGCACAAAAAAAGGCAACACAGCCCACAGGCTACTGCTTATCATGACAAACAGAAAGGCAACACAGCCCAAAGGCTACTGCTTATCATGGAGCAAGAAAGATAACACAGCCCACAGGCTACTGCTTACCATGGCACAGAGAAAGGAATCACAGCCCAAAGGCTACTGCCTTATCATGGAACAAACAAAGTAACACAGCCCAGAGGCTACTGCTTACCACGGCACACAAAAGATAACACAGCCCAAGGGCTACAGCTTATCATGAACAAAAAGCAACACAGCCCACAGGCTAGTGAATAACACTGGACAAAAAGGGGCAACACAGCCCATAGGCTATTGCTTATCAGGACAGAGCTGCTGGCTTCACAAGCACAAAGTTAATACCCAAAGTTTGCCACACATGTGCACAGCTGTGCACCAAGCACGGCCCCATGCAAGGCACCAAAGTCTGCGTATAGCACAAGTGTGTCACAAGGGAGTGCTGCAGCCCAAAGGCTTGACCAGCCCTAAGGCTTGAACAGCCCTAAGGCTTGGACACACCAAAAGTTTGATCACTTTGCATGCAACAGTTACATTGCGGCCCACAAGTTTCAACCTGCACCTTTTCCATTGGCTGATGTGCTCAGTCTTTTCTGTATTTGCCAGTCAAATTATAAGACCTTTTGGTGGCAGTCGCCTCTTGGTCAATATCACCAGATCGCAGGTGCATCAAAGTGGCATACAACATGTCCTTGTCCAACTGCACCATGAGGTCAGAAATGCATGCCCTCTTGGCTGGGCACAAGATTGACACAGGCACACCAGCCACATTGACTTGCACAATCTGCTCCTTGAAGCAAACCTTCCTTTTCTTGTTGGCATGGCCATCTTCTTCTCCATCAAACAAGCTTGCAGAGCTTGCTTGCCCAGACTGCTCAAGCAATGCATTGTTCCTCATTGCTTTGAGGTCAGTGAGCTTCTGCAAGTTGGACAATGAAGCATTTCTCACAGACTTGCCACAAACCAAATGCACCACTGCAGGGCTGGTAGGCCGCAACTTGAGATACTGCCTGCCCAAAGAGTCCTGCATGCAGCCATTTACAAAGTGGCTTGCATGCTGGAAGGCATTTTTTTGCAACTTGCATGTCAGTCCTCCACTATCAGCTCATCAGGGATTGCTACAGGCCGCCCTTCATCAACTGTGATCTCCACCCTGTGGGTGATGGTCAAAGGCATTGCGCATAATCTTTGAGCCAGCTCATGAAAGCAGGGCCAATGGGTTCCAACAGCTGGTGCACTCAGCCATGTGGCTCCAAGTTTCAAATGTCAGCTTAGCCACAGGGGCTTGCCAGGATAGCTGGGATGTGCACACTGCATGTCTGCAACAGCATGGAAGCTCCTTGCAGGCCCACAAGCCAGCATCCTCCCAATGGCTGACTACAAAGGCATGCTCTGCATGATAGCTGCCAAAGCAAGCTGCTTGCAAGCTTTGCCTAACTGAAATGAACATGCACTCCAACAGCAGTTTTTGCAACACCTAAAGTGTATAACTTCAGCTGAAAAAGATAGCTAACTGTTAGCTAACTTTCTTAATTGCTTGGCTAAGTGGTTAAGATAAAATAACACATTTATGATAGTTTACTAACAGTTACATTTGTTAGCTAAGCTTGTTAAGCATCTTAAAAAGTTAGACAGCTTATAAGAGGTTAAGA